GCACAAGACTTCGAAGTTTCACTCCTCTTGCACCATATTTGCACCAAAAAGCCACTCGAACCGATTTCACAGGCTGTTTACTCAGGTTCTCTCTGTCTCTGCCTCTCTCCTTTATAATTTAATCTGCAGCGTGTTTTCTCTCCCCCTCCACGTAAATGAAGAAGAGGACGATCTGTGACATGACGTATAATTCATCTGAAACGCTCTTCAGACGACGACTGATTAAGTTAATTTCATGCTTCTCCTTTTTTTTCCTCTTCCTTCCAGCGTGGCCAAAGGATTCATGTCACTGCTCGGGTTCGTTGTCATCTTTATTGTGTCGGTGTGTGATCCCAGGGTAAATAACACACACACACACACGGAGTAATGACTGCTGTCTGGAATTCTGCCAGTCATCCGTGTTTTCCATCTGCTTCAGGGTTTTGTTGTCATGTTGGACAAAGTTGTGTCGTTCTCCCTCAACACTGAAGTGGGACTGTTTGTCTTCATCATGCTGAGAGAATGCAGAGAGGACAGATTCCAGTGAGTACCTGTGATGTTCAGGATTGGATTAACTTAAAAAACAACTTTAAGGCTTTATTTTGTTTCCAGAAACAGATTTGAGTTGGATTTTTGGCGGCATAGCACACAGTTTAACTGGCATACATGCTCCACCCTTTCTGTTGGAGCTTGTTTCAGCTCTTCGTTCCGGGCCGGGGAGGTTCGACCGTGATAATGAGAATAATAAATTCTCCCTCGCTCTCTCTGCTTGTCTTTCCAGACAGCTTGCCATCCCTCTGCCACTGGGCGACTGCGTGTTCAGCCTCAGCTGGCTGCTGCCCACCTACTTCCTGTTTGCAGTAACCTACGACGTCCTGCAGACCCTGGCGGATCTGGCGCATTATCTGCATTTCTACAACCACGATCAGGAGCCACACATTTACAATCTGACGGGGAGTTTAGCAGCAGCCAATCTCTCCACCCTCCTCTGATCTAAGCAGCTAGTTAAGGCACAAACTGGTAGGAGTTAAAATTGCCAAAATGACAAGCTTCGCACCTTTGTTTGTTTGTTTTTATTTGTGCACTGCACTTTCCCAAAAACCGTGTACGTAACAATCTAACAGTCAGCTGAAGACGGCTCTCTTTTGTTATCTCACGGTGGCCGTCCTTGCTCAAGTTAGCGACACAGTAGAGATCAAAATTTCAGACTGTTTTTTTTTCCTTTCAGTGGCCTTCATGGCATATTAGCTGTAGATTTAGGACTCATCTAGGAAGGAAATAAGGAAGTGTGGACCCAGTGTGTAACTAAAGTGATCAAAGTTAGATAAAAGTTTTTGTTGCTATAAAATAATAGACATCTAAAAATTACATTCCTGATGATCAAGAACTGCAGAAGCCGTCTTAATTGGAGCGGCTGGCAGATCTGCAGCGTGGATGTTACCAATTCCACGACTGCTCCGTTTGATTTCGTCCCGCTGTTTCTTCATCTCGTCCTCAGTCTGCTAACCGTAGTGGATTTCTTAGCCATAGCATTGTCCTCAGCAGTCAACCGGAGATTCTCGATTGGGTTTAGTTCAGGATTCAGGGTTTGCCATTTCATTATTTCAGGCTTAACAGCTGCAAGGAAGTGCTTTCCCGGTTCTGCAGAGTGATTACGGAGCATTGTCTTGCATAAATATTGTTGGCTGATTAGACGCTGATGTCAGGGAGGGAATAATCTGTGTTGAAGGAGCTTCATCGGGACATTAGCATTCACCTTGCTGAGGGGATGTGTAAGAGGCTCAAACTTTGCAGCAGAAAACATCCACCAAACCATTAACCTCCCTCCTCCAAACTTAACTGGCTTCTTCACACTGGTGTGGGTGCATTTGTTTTCCAGTTTTAGTGCAGAACATGATGCTTGCTGTGTGAACTTATTATTATACCAGTTCCTCTGTGTCCACGTGATCTGTTCCTCTGCAGATTTCAGTATACGCTTTTGATTTCTCCTGTTTCATGATTGGTTTGGTCCCTGCGGGCTTTCAGTCTGATTTCTGTATCCCGAGAAAGGACCTTACACCTTTTCAGCCGAGAATCGGCATCAGTGTTGAATCAAATCTGTACTAAGACTTTTCTCCTCTTCTCCTTCGGCTTGTATAGACGGCCAGCATTTTAGAGGTAAACTGTTTGAATATTCTAGCAGTCAGTGGTGTTTGTTGTTCCGGGTGCTCTAATACATTCAGCCTCCACTTGAACCACAGCCATCAACAACCAGCAGCTCCCCATCTTTCAAAATGATTGTTCTCTATTTTTATGGGGTCTGTCAGATCCCAAAGCGTTCTCTAGTTTTGATCACGGTTCCTTCAGAAATTCTCGTTAAAGTTTTTTTGTAGTTTTGTTGTACAGTATTTTCTGCGTTTTCAAATTCGACACTATGCCTCAATGACATCTTTTTATTAGTGTTAGGGTAACTTTAAATTTGAATTGTTACAGCCTTGACTTTATTCTCTAATTTTGGTCTCTACTGTACAATAGTGCCATTTTTCTGGGTGTGCTTAGTTCGTATTGAGTCGATTTCTCTTAACTCTCATTTTGAGTGTTTTATACAGCCTTTTAACCAGGCTGCAGCCAGTCTGTGTGATGGGTAGAGCACAGACTAACTGGGTAATATTTAGATTGGAAATCAGATTAATGTTCAAAAAGCGAGAGACAGATTAAATCCTACTGAGATGAAACATTTCAGCGTGCTTCGTTTTTTGCATCCAGTCTGACGGTAAATACACTTTGAAATTCTTAGTGCTGTGCAAACGTTTCAAGCAAGTAAAGTGAGGATAGTTTGCAGTTATCAGCTGTTAACGTTTTACAGATTGTGAAGTAGGGCGAAACCTAAATCAAATCAGTGCTTTGCCTTTTAAATCAGCACCAGTTCATGTCGGTACACTTGCACAAAGTTCTTTTAAGTCATTTGGAAGGCAGGTTGTTCCAGGAATCCCAACAGTTCTCATGTGGATTTCCTCTGCCTGTGTCTTCTGTCTCTTCATGTAATCCCAGACTCACTCCATGATGTAGAGATCAGAGTTCTGTGGGTGTTACACCATCTGTTACAGGACTTCTTGTTCTTGTTGTGGCTGAAGTTAGTTTTTCATGACTGGCTGTTGCGAGGCATCTTCATGCTGTATGATGAATCTGGGCTGCTTTGTTGTATATGCTGTCTGATAAATGGGACTAAACATCAGAAACTTCTGCACAGTACTATTTATTACTTTGTTATAGATTTACTCCTTAACGCCTTATGCAGAGTATAAAAATGGCATTTATTTAAACAGTAATGTATAATAGTAGAGTAAGTTATATAGTTACGACATAGGCAGATGTCTTCTTCAGGGTTTTTCAGCCTTTTCTGCAGTCTACATTATTTTCATACTAATAATATTGCAGTGCACACACAGGCACACGCACACACAATCGTGTTTTCATATCAATGTGGGGACAACTAATTGACATAATGCTTTCTGTAACCCTGAAACTAAAAACCACATTTTGAATCACAAAAATACCTTCAAACTCGTGGGAACGTGGATTTTGTTCCCATAAGGGCTGTTGGTCCTCACATGTATAGTAAACTTCCAATTTTTGGTCTCCACAAAGATATGTAAACTAGTACAGGTACACACACACACACACACACACAGAGGACTTAAAGGCAGCGTGTGCACTCCACACAGCATTAATACGCACAATGAAAAGTTAGACTAGAGAGGCTCCCAGTGGTCTCTTTGCATGTTCACAAATGCAAGAACTTTTGGTTCAGGCATGAGCTCCATTTAGCCTCCCAATACACAAGCTAAACCTGACAAAAATGTGTATTTTATTATAACCAGTTGACTGATTACTCATGTGTAGGGCATGTACTATAAAGCATTTGGGGATTCAGGATTAGCCTGATGTTTAAGGCCACAGCAGGTTAAGTTGGAGATAAGAGATCAACTCATGCAGTGCAAAAAAATCACCACCTACCATCACCACCCCCAGAAGATCCCTCAGACCTCAGTAGGCACAAAATAACTGTATCTTTAGTTTTAAGAGACTATGTGAAGTCTTTCTCTCTGTGACACCATCAATAAGAAATAGAGAGTATTAGAAGCAACCTCCTGACCTGCTTTTTTAAGTGCTGGTTGCAAACAACTTTTAAGCCACTCTATTTTTCCATAAGCCTTAAAATACTGATATAATCCTCAGACAGGGCACTTAAGCCTTTTACTTGTTGACCTTGTATAAAATTTGTAAGTCAGCCTCCTTACTGGCATGAGCTGCTGTTTTTTGCCAACTTTTCCGGTTTTACTGACCACGCAAAGCTTTGAAAGCCCACACAGTTTCATGTGGGGCTTATCCTACCACGCAGCTGCTGTGTTTAGGCCACAGTGTGAGTTTAATCTTGTTTAATTTCTCTAATAATCAAGTTTATTATTTAATTTTTACAATCAATGCCTCTGCTGACTTGTCTGGTCACATGATGCCAAACTCTGGGATGACTCCCATCCTTGTTGCATAAGGAAAAGATATATCTGGGGTAGGTTGAACTTGCTTTGTGTTGCTTGACGTGTTTACCTGGGACCTGTAAACCTACAAAGTCCAGCACATCCACGTCTTGTTGATTTCTGAGTTCTCCTACCCCATCATTACAGCTATTTAAATTAAGAGGCTGTTGTCTGATGTAAGAAAGGTTTAGCTACTCTTTCAGCTTCAACCTACACTTTTAGTTAACAGCGAGCAAAGAAGAAGTTGCTTTTGAGTCTATTTCTAACAGATGCTCATCAGAGAAAGACAAACCTGTCTCTGAAACCTCACAAAACTGGAACAGCGAGTTTCTGAGGAATCTTCAGGAATGATGATGCTGTTTTCCTGAGAACCGATTGGTCAGTAGACGGTGATTTTGTGCATGTTGACATCTTACCTGCCGCGGAGCAGGGTAAGCCTGCAGCACAAGTTAATATGCAGATGTGTCCTGGTAAGACAGTGGCAGTGAAAAGCCAGGGTCTAGCTTCATAGTACAGGCTTGTGAGCATTTCACCGCTTCGCTTTCATTTAATTTCGATGGGTCAGGGTTAGCGGGGAATGCAGCATGCCGCTTCGGTTTGATTGCTTTCTGCAGAAGCACCAGCCTGAGGACGTTTGAAATCAAAGATTTACTGTTTTATTAAAGTCGGCTATTTTTGTTTGACATATATTAAAAAAAAACATGTATTCATGATTGCCATTCAGTCGTATTCTTTGGCGTTATTTCAGCACCGACACTCTACAGACACACAAATAAAAACTCAAAGCTCTTATCAAAATATATTTTATTCTGCACTTAAGTTTCACTGATCGGACTTAAATGATGACACATGAAAGTGATGCGAGCTGCAGAGAAAAACAAAGATGCTCGGGGAGCCCATCGCAGGCGCTGCCGGGCTGACTCTGTGGCACAGACCAAATCAGGGGGACCCTGCCCGTGTGACATGTTGGGAGGAATTTCAGTACTTGAATGCTTTGAGTACAGGAAAGTTAAAAACAAAAGGAACAGGTACAAAATATCAGACTTTTAACACTAATGCATGAAAACCGTCAGCCCAGAAGTAGAAATTTATTGTAGAGAAGAAGAAATGAGTTCATTTGCAATTGTACAAACTTTTCTCAGAGGCAGAACTTCTCCTCGAGGCAGGTTTGGGTTTAATTAAACCTCTGAAGTTGCATTCATGGATGCACTTTTTTTGGCCAATTAGGATTTTGGTGGATTTTACCTCGAATGAGTTCTTTGGTTCGGAGGTTTAACTCGAGTATTGAGTTATAGTTGTCTCAGCTTTTATAGGTGTTTTCCAACTGTTACCCAGACGCACAGCAGGTGCCCAACAGAGCAGCCATGTTGGTTTCAATTTAAAATCTGGGAGCTTCTATGCAACAGAGTTGAGAGCTGATCGTGCGTTTCTCTCGTGGCTCATTCGTCAGTGATGTGAAGCGGCACGATTTCACGTGTGCAATAACACGCACACACAAATATAACTCCATACTCGACCGCTGACCTGCGTCTGGAGCGACTCTCTCAAAGAAACATCTGTGTGACTCCCAACTTTATCTGGCTCAATTTAAGAATTACAATCTCGTGTTTAGTGGACTTTCAGGAGACAGCGATTCAGGGACAAAGCTTCCCGAATGGATTCAAGCAAAATAAAATAACTTTTTTTTTTTATTAAAACAAATTTAGTGGTGATTTGCTCCTGGGAAAACGCTCCCCAGGCAAGGTGCCTTAAGAATGACAGCTCAGCTCAGAAAGCTTTTACATTACAGGGTCAACCTTTACTGTTTGCATCAGAGTAACAAAAAAAAATCTTTAAAATTTATTCAACATGGAAATTAACACTGCCAATAAATCAATTCACATTTTTTTCTTCAGCTCTACAAAGAAATTACAAAAACTTTAAATTTGTCTTTAAAAGAGTATAAAACGTCTCGTCAGCAGGGACCTTCGGAATAAAATCTAAGCTGAATTTTTGGTGCATAAAACCAAGAATGACGATGAGAGGGCAGATGAGCAAAAAATACACTAAAGATGCAGCGTCATGTTTTACTTTTAATTCACCAAAACGGTCACGCTGTGACTTTTAGCCATTTGTTTGTGTCTGGTTTGTTTGTCCTTTGGTGCCTCTAATAAGTTCCTAACGCACTCGAGTGCGTTCTGATCCGTGCAGACAGCTCGTCCCTGGTCTTCTTCTTGTAAAGGGTCGCTCTGAGCGGCCCTCCGCTGCCTGCCGGGGAAATCTGAGTGACCATATTTAAAAAACTGTTTAAAAAAACCCTAAAGTTTCAATTATAAAAATATTTTAGGGACTTTTATGAAGTTACTGTTTGAATTCAACCAAGACAGCAAAGCCAAATAATTACTGTTTTCAGAACCAAGCTTGGAAAGCCACAACTGACCTCGCTCACCAGGTAGCATGATCAGATCGAGGCGGTATCCAAAGCTACTCCCTACCACAGACTTTCTGCCAGTTTCTTATCCTGAAATTTCTACTTCACGTAGTCCACCTAACAGTGGAATTATACACACCGTGCACAAATGCCAGCAACAGCACTGGTCACTTGCGGATTTTCAAAAGTCTCATTTAAATTTAATGTGAAAAGGGCCCGTGGTATGCGCACACTTCCTGTTAACAGTCA